ACTGTTACCCACATCATCTGGGAAAGAGTTGTCACCACTCTACCTACCAGGTCGTGATAACTGTTTGCACCACACTTCAAAACTGGTGTACCCAGATTCGTACAGCTACAAAGACTGCAAACTACCTGAAACAGATTTTATTCTTCTTCATTATCCTGACCCCCAAAAGGATCAGTTTGACTTTGCCAACCAAATTTGTCCTGTGCTACCAGAGGAAGTGAGGCCAAGGCCACTGTCAGAGTTGTGCCATCAGCAGATTTTGGAAGAATGTGGAAGGTGTGAGGATATTGAGATGGCAAAGTGCCTGAAGATAGCACTCGGGCTTGAACAGCTACCAAATGTGTGCATTTCAACATTTAACAAATATCCAAAGCACAGCATACGGTTTGATAATATTAAAGACTTGCTGTCTCCCTTCTTTCAGCGGGTACAGGTGGTCACAGTTGAAGATCTTAAGGTGGACCTTGCAATGAAGAATAGCACACCAGTCATAGGAACAGCAAAGGTCGAATTTTATCTCAATGCTGCTGACAGCCAAAATTTCTGTCTCTATCTTGACTCAAAGATAACTAGAATGGTGGAAGAGCATATCCATAAGACTATGGTACAAGAACTGCTTGGAGCAATCAACAAGATCATTGGAAACTCAACGCCAGGTATTGTGGTACCTAAAGTTCATGAGGCATTTTGCCTGTTTCTAAAGTCAAAGACAAACGAAGAGCTTCATGAGGCGTGTAGAATTTGTGGCATTGAAATAGAAGATGCCGATTTTGTTAGCACATTACAACCACAATTAGGGTACCCGATTCCAAAGGAGTGGCACTACATGCTGGACCAGAACCCAGACAATATCTTTCACTCACAAGAGATTGTGGGTTATGAGATAACTGAGGGAATATTCATCTTTGCCGAGGTTTTGTATGTAGTTCCTCCTGATGATTTAGATGTGGACCAAGACTCGATAAATCCATTACTGACTAGATACATGATAGCTCTCCCTGACAAAGAGATGACTGTGACTGCCCTGGACATATACAAGTTTGTTAGGAAAAGAATAGGTAACCTAGCTACAGCCCACACTGATGAACAAATAGAAGAAGGTGAAAGAGAGGAAGAGCAGTTTACGGATGCTGCTGAAGCAAAGAAGCACCTGTGCCAGCAGTTGAAGCAGATATGGAAGATGGATGAGCCAGAAAGAAGTAGAGCTATCCGTCGTCTATACCTACGATGGCATCCAGACAAGAATCTTGATAATGTGGAGCTAGCCAACGAGGTATTCGTATTTCTAAAGAAACAGATTGAGCGACTGGAGCAGGGTTTGGACCCAGAGGTAATAGAAGAGGATGAGGTTGATGCTGAGTCATCATCGCCTCAATGGAGAGAGCACTACAGTGCCTGGGAGGAGACTGTTAACTCTCACACTAGATACAGAAGTCATCATGAGCAGTATTTCAGGGGTCGACCCAATTGGGGTGGGGTAGGTTCGGGAATGGCTGGAGGAAGTTGGCCAACACCACAACCAAATGTCTCTGAGGGACAACGCTGGGTTCAGCAGGCAGAGTATGATTTCATGGCTGTTGAAGCACTGTATGCGAGAAGGCTGTGGCAAGTAATAACAAGCTTTTCTCACATGTCTGTTTCATGGCTCACGAAGTTGCTGAGAAGGCACTAAAGGGAGGAGTGTATGCAGTCTGTGGCCTTAATGCAGAGTATTTGAAAGATCACCAAATTAACAACCTGTCACGCATGCTTCGAGGAGAGAGGATGGATTTAGCGGCAGATCTCCCTTCCTTGACAGCGAGCCTGGAGAGGTATTATCTCGGAACAAGGTTTCCCAACCGCTGTCCTCCTGGGTGTGTCCCGTCAGATTTGTTCACCGTTGCTGATGCACAGCAGGCTCACGAGAATGCCGGAAAGATACTGACTATCGTTCAGAGCATATTGCATACATGTTAATGTTGCTGCCCTTCAGACACATTACCATGAACAATTACATATTGTACACATGAAGTACACATGAACCTATTATGTATGATAATAATAATAATACACATGACAGTATTCTTATGTATGATAATAATACACATGGCAGTTTGATGACGATTCTCGAGTGAGGTGGAGCTTGCTTAAGAAGCTATATATGCTACAAGAAATGTTGGATTGTGCCCTAGGGCATGCAGATGGTATGAACTGTCTAAGATCTTTTTTATGAATGCACTCACAAAAAAATGCGTCGATTCCTATCACTTCCTTGCCACATAAAAACTGCTTTGATAATAATAAAGGTGTAGATAATCACCCTGAGCGTGATTTAACCCTAGGTACATGTACTGGATAGACAGACATGTGCACTGATTTTCTCTCCCATAGAAAATGTATGGAGGAGTATGAATAATGCTAAATCAGAGAAAATTAACTATGAATCACGAGCGTTTCAACCGTGCTATGTACTCCCACGAAAATATTTGCTGCTGCCCAAAAGTGTGCAGTTCAATTTTTTCTGGGTGGGCTCAGGTCACACAAACCTAAGCGTAGCCCTATGGTGAGATTCACAAGATAAAGATTGTCATGACAATTGAAGGCCAAGGTAGCCCATTTATGTCTGTGTAGGTAAAAACAGCACACGAGGAGACTAGAAAAAGTATAATATAAGGAAATGAGGACACACTATCTTGCTATTACTGATACTTTCTTTCGGTGTTCAAATGCCCAGTATGTGTAACGGGCTGCTGCACACTAACATTCTTGCTTTCAGAAGCTAGGATCAATGTCATTTTTCAACACTTGAATGGCTTAGAATTCTGGATGAATAGAGACTGTACAATGTTCATAGGAGAATCGGTTGCTAGATATTTCAATCAGGAATTGAATTTTATTGTCGATAGAAAAAGGTTAAGCATAATCTCTCGTTTTCTGGAATTTTTGGTTTATGGTGTCTACCAATTTCAATCTCTAGTTGATGACAACTAGTGCTTAGTCGTGCTAGTGCAACTCTGTGAGCCTTCATAGTAACCCAGGATACGTAGTGCTCCCACTCAAATGCTGATTTTAACTGTCTGTAACATCTCAGCTTATTTCCACCGATCCTGCGTGTGTCTGTTATGAAACCCTCCTGAAGCGTAGTTTTTTACTCAACAATGGACCATCGGGAGCCAGATTGAGGATATTATATAGTCAATTCCACCAACTTCTCCTTCCTCTATATAGTTTGCCGTCATAATGAAAAGCACTAAAGTGCAAACCCTCGGCAAACTGCGCATGCGCGCGATACTGCTAATTGATGGCTGGGCTATTCATGCGTTTTACTCCGTGGTCTCCCGCTAGTATAGCTCGCGGAGAGTCTGACACTGGCTAGCTACAGCAGTAGATAGCATGCGGGAGGCGATACACGCCATTCGTTGTGACTTCCTGAGCCACCAAGGTAGAGCGGATCAGGTCACGGGTAAGCCCAGTGCTATTATGCAATTGGCTTTTTCACAGCATATCTCTCGAACGCAGTCGTTTCAGGGAAATCGCCTAATAAGTTTTCAGGTTCGGGTAGTTATGAAACCGTTGGTATCGCTCATTCGCCACCCCGTATATAGCCTGTAGTGCCAGAATAAGCGTCGACACACACACACAGACAGACTGACAAACCCTCGCTGCGCATGCGCGCCGAGGGTTAATAATCCGACGTTGCGAGTGTCCGGCAGTGCGAGGACGGAAGTGCAAGAGCAAATTTTTATTCTGCCGCATCGTCTTGTCAGATTTAATGTGCTCTGAAGCAGTGCGTGAGTTTGTTGGTGAATTGCAGAGCCCCTTGGTAAGTGGCAAATACATGATCCTACGTTTTGGGTTGGCATAAGAGTTAACTTATAAGAAGATACTCCACAATGCACGTTTTGAGTATAGAAAGACGTGTTTCACTCTGATTAGCTGTAGCTATAGCTAATATAACTCGCCCAGGTTATAAAAAAATCCTGCGCGTCTGTATTAGCTAAATACTAGGCACATAGATACGACGCCAACTCTACTGTTTGTATATACTCTACTAGTCGCCACGCAGAGCCGACGAGGCACGGCCGCACCTGACAGGCACTCGGGGTACCGAGGCCAGAGTGCTGCTACAAAGGCGCGGAAAGCCACGTCTGTAGATCAGCTCTTTAACAGAATTTCAACCTAAGAAATGCTAAAAAGTTTACTTGAGTGTTTTATGGTGGCTGTATAGCTACGCCGCATCGCTCTAAAACGTCCGCATGGCTTTTTTTTTGACGACGGGCGCAGACGGTGAGCATAATTACTAGTAGGCGAATGCATGGCATTTTTGGCGAGCTTACAAATGGGGTCTAATCGTATGAGTCACTCTTGTGTGTGCACAAAACAGTGAGATACATTGCAAGTAGGCCGAAACAACCTTTTAGACCCGAGCGCAGTAGACAATTCGAGTCGAGTCAACGGTGACATGCGCAGTTCGGCGACGCTCGACAACACGTACGTACGGTGACATAATAGGAAAATCTTCCCTTGACCGATCCATAACTCTTTCCCTCTACTCACACGCTCACAAATTATCAGGGGTGCCTACTGAGGGGTGGGCTACGTATATACCGACGACGTACGGTGACGTGCGCAGTTCGGCGACGCTCGAAAACGTACGGTGACATAATTATATATAGAAAAATCGCGCCGTTCGGACCACTAGGTTAGCTCGCTTCCGCTCGCCAATAATTATGCTCCTCACGCGCGTGCAACAGCTACACTGTGCGCTGCGGGGTTAAGGATCTGAAATAAATCTGAAATAAAAATGGTCCTACCTCTTGTGAAAATAGCTAGCTACTCCTTTTAGTAATGCATGTCTGTCGTATACCCTCGGGCAACATAATATTATTGTGGGTTTAGTGATAGCTTTTATTAGGACCTGGATCTGCTATAAGTATTTCCATGCTTACTGTGCGCATCAGAAATTGATAGTGTTGTGGATTATTTAGAGCAATGCTGCAAGGTAGTGAACACCAACAATCAGCCTTAAATTCTTGTTAACTTCACTTGTAGGCTAGTACAGCCCGGGTGCCTTGCATGCCTTTGTAGAGTTCTTAGGTTTTGGTGGCTAGCTATGTTGCTCTTTTGCATAAACGTTTGTGCAAAATATTGCCGAGGAGTGGCAAAGGGGTGTAAGTATACCATTGTGCTGGTGTACATAAACAGTGCAAGTGGTTGCGTAGTTTTCATGGGTCCTCTAGCATTTACACAACTATAGCTGCACCCACACACCAAGGGTAAGACAAACTTGTTGTGATGGCCACATCAGCAGTTGACCCACCCATTTACATTCTCTACCTAGCGCACAATCAAAAAATGAAAGCTGCAACAATAGTACACTTCTTCTTGTTCTGTTCGATGGTGGAAGCTCACTATCCCACCAAGTGCCCTCACGTCTCCTTCATGGGTCAGACTCTGGTAAACCACTCATATGTGGATCTCAGTCAAGTTGGGATCAGCACTGCAGACCCTGGAAATACTGTGAGATGTTGCACTGACCTGTGCACATGCTGCAGCAACGAACAGGGAGATGATCGTGGAGGTTGGTTTCTTCCTAACGGAGGCTCTCTTTCAACTAGTTCTTATGACTACGGTATGAGATACGGAGATGGGAGAGTAGATGTGTATCGACAACACCACAGCATGCCCCAAGGAATATACCGCTGTGATATTGAGACTAACGCATTTCACGGAGATCAAATCACAGCCGGAGAATCTGTTTTTGCTGGTTTATACTTTTCTAATGAAGGTAAAATGTGCTCTATTGCCAGCTGTTTGCTTATATTTTATAACGCAGGTGATGTACATATCAACAGTTTGCTCATAGGTGTTGACTCTGACCTCAATGGAGCCAGTCCTCAGTTCACCCTCACCTGTATCTCCACTGGTGGACCTGCCACCACTGTCACTTGGACCAGAGACTCCACACGTGTCGGTGGTACAACAAAGACAGTGCTAGAGGACCCAGTGACTGCACACTATATCCACAATCTGACCGTTACAGGAAGACGCCCGGGGTTCTATACTTGTATTGTCGCTAACAATAAGCCGTCAATGGCAAATGCGACGCTGAGTGTTGAAAGTAAATCATATATAGTCCAAAAGGTAATGCAAAGTTCATAAGTAAATTCCATCCATTTGCAGTGGCATCAGTTCCACCTAACCTGATAGCAATTCGGAAGGGCTCAAAAGAAATCCAATTGAACTGGGACCAACCTCCACCTACAGCAAAGACAATTGGCTACACCATAGAGTATCAGAGTCACAGAGGAGAGAGTATTGGTGTGGATATTGATCTGAGCTCCACTAGCTACCAGGTGACTGGCCTTATGAACGGGATCCGCTACAATGTTGCTTTTATTTCAAGATCTAACCACTACTACCAACGTATCTCAATTCCCATAGCAATGGGTAAGCACACCATTAGTGTATTCTTTTTAGTTCAAAACCTCTTTAACCCTCGGCGCGCATGCGCAGCGAGGGTTATAGTAGTCGTTCTGTCCGCCTGTCTGTCTGCCCGCGCGAGTTCTAGCACTACAGGCTACGAGGCGGCCAATGAGTGGCACCAACGGGTTGTGAACGACGAGAAGATTGATATTAATGCGGCGATTTTCCCGAAACGACTGCGTTCCAGAGATATGGCGTGAAAACAAGCGAAAAAGCTTACACGAGCGATTCATCGCGCACGCGCGTATGCCGTTTGCCGGAGCATGCGCATCTGTTAGATTCCGCGTGGATTGGGGACGAGCAAGCGGTTTTTCTCTCCTCAGTCATTGTTGATCTCTGTTCTCGATGGACAACAAATTGAGCAAGGTATGTCCGCAATGTTCATAATCGTACTGGGCTTACCGCGACCTGATCCGCTCGCTCTGTGCACCTTTGGGGCTCAGAAAGTCACAACGAATGGCCTCCCGCATGCTATCTACTATACTGTAGCTAGCCCGTGTCAGACTCGCGACGTGAGCAGTATCGCAGTTCGCCGAGGGTTTGCACTTTAGTGCTTTTCATTATTGCAGTTCCTGAAAAACCAAGTGTCAGCATTGCTGCAGTCACAAGCTCATCTATTGATCCCTTTTGGAGTGTATCAAGAGGCTCAGTTGTTACTAGCTACACTGTCACTTGGAAGAGCGACATTTCTTTTGGATGTCGTACTGAGCATCAGGGAAGTCACACTACTCCAGATAATTCTTCTACGATTTACACCATAACAGGACTGGAGGAGAACAGTAGGTACATCATTACAGTCAGTGCAAGAAACGGAGCTGGTACTGGGCCAGAGAGTGAGCCTCTCATTGTGGAAACAAATGCTGCAGGTGAGGATGCAGTAGTGACTGTTAGCATCAGGTGGTGATCTCTTCCTTTATATTCTCCAGCTCCATCTGCTGCTCCAACATCAGTGAGAGTGACTGAAGACTCTTCCACCACTATCACTGTCCAGTGGGAGGGAGTGGACTGCATCCATCGCAACGGCAATATAACTGGCTACTCGGTCCGCTATAGTCACATGGGAACTACACTACAGAAGACTAGCAACACAACTACTAAAGTTACAATTTCGGGACTAAGTCCCTCTACAACCTACATAGTTGAAGTTGCTGGAGTGACTAGTTTAGGGATAGGTAGCTACAGCCTGCCTCTAAATGCAACAACAGATGGTATGTATGTTATTACCTGCAACAGAGGCCAATGTCTCATTCACTCTTGCATGCAGGCCGTTTGTCAATGATTGGAGGGTCTACATCACCTACCTCTCTCACAGTCTCACTACAACTCGCAGCTGGCTCACAAGCAATTGGCTACACACTTACTTACCAGAATGTCAATAACACTGATTGTTTCCGTGATTCAGATCAGATAGGTGGCAACCAAACTACATATACTCTAAACCTTCTAGGTAACACGGAATACATTATAGCTGTCAGTGCTGAATTGAGTATTGGTGAAGTAGAAGAAGACAGCTTCATCACCGTCACTGCAGTGGCTGGTTAGAGTAACCTCCTATTACTTTGTCTAAATTAAAGGAGCAGGGTATAAGGGCTAAAAAAACTGGAAACCTAATAGCATTCTTGCACTTGGCCCCAATGTCTAGTTCTATCTTTAGTAACATTTCTAAATTTAGCCCTCATGTAGCTACTGACACATTCCCTATAATGTTGTTCCCCACTACAGCTGGTTAGAGTAACCTCCTATCACTTTGTCTTGATAAAGCTTTGTTGCCCACTACAGCTCCATCAGTCCCGCCAACTTCTGTGGAAGTGTCAGTTGTCAACTCCACAACCATCACTGTTCAGTGGGGTCAGGTGCCATGTCGTTATCAGAATGGGGCTCAGATAACAGGCTACTGGGTGAGGCATGGGGAGGTGGGGAGTGGGAACACACAGACCATGTCTGTGTCGGGAGACAGTGTCACTGAGACCACTATCTCAAGTCTACTGCCATCCACTAACCACTCCCTTCAAGTGGCAGCAGTCAACGGTGCTGGTACAGGGATCTACAGTACTCCTGTCAGTGTTCTCATACCTGAAATGAGTGAGTAGTGCGTTATAATAATGCTGGTCTGAAACTTAACTTTGTACTCGAATAATTATATAGATGTGTATGTAAGCCTCCGTGGAAGAGTTATTCCTAACAATGGCTATGCAATCATCGATGATATCGGCTCTTGGGACAATGCTGTTCTCTGCCACACTGACCGTGCAGTTGATTTTGGGGATCCTTTCCGTCGTTCCGGAGGAAACTGGTTTGCACCAGATGGAACTAGAGTCAATGAAAATGATGTTCCAGGGTTCTACAGGAATAGGGGACCTATGGTCGTGAGACTGCATAGAACTGACAGCACAGGCAACCAAGGGATATACAACTGCACTATACAAGATGCTACGACAAAATATCAGGCAGTATATGTTGGATTGTACTATCCAGGAAATGGTAGATACTTGCTGATATCCATCATAGTTATGCACTTACAGTTCTTTCTGCAGGTGTAATTAATATCTCTGGTGGTGTTTTATACTTCAGTTGGAATGTCAATAGAGCCATACCTCAGTTCACCCTCACCTGTATCTCCACTGGTGGACCTGCTACAACTGTCACTTGGACCAGAGATGCCACCACTGTCACCCAGGGAACTGAGACTGTGTTGAATGACCCAGTGACTGCACAGTACACCCACACTCTGACTGTGACTACTGCAGGAGAGTACACTTGTACTGTGTCCAATAATAAGCCATCCACTGCTTCAGCTAGCATAACTGTCAGAGGTATAGCTACCAATTACACCTTGTAGCACAGCGTTTTTGTATTGGCTTAGCTTATTCCCACTTATTGTTGTAGAGAAACAGGCCCCTCTCTTTCTACAATAGTTGCTATTTACATAGTTGAATTCTTTGATGTTTCAGTTGCATCAGCTCCTACTAATCTAATGGTAGTTCAGGAAGATCTAACCAGTGTGAGGGTGTCTTGGACTCCACCCACACCACTGGGAGACACAACTGGGTATAGAATTGATTTCATTAGCAGTGGCAATGATACTGGCAGTGTGAATGTGAGTGACTGGTCTTCTGGACACTGTGTCTTGCACGGTCTGATAAGAGAGGCTACTTACTACATTTCTATTGTGGCTACATCAGAACACCACCTTCCCAGCCACAGCCTCAACAGTCAAATTACTTTAGGTAAGTAACACCTATTCTCATGCCACAATTTTAAAAAAATATATTCTTCTACTAAAGTACCACTCCCAAGCCAACCAGCGATCAATGCACTGTCAGCAACAGCCACCTCCATCTCCCTCTCCTGGAGGGTTCCCAGTGGTTCTACTACTGTGACTGGTTCGGAAGTGGTGTGGAAATCAACTGATGAATCCTTTTCTGAGAGTGAAGGCGGTACAATGAGTGGACCTCCTGTACTGAATGGTAGTGGTGTCATCACAGACACCAGTTACACTATTGTGTTCAATAGTAGTGGTACCTACAATATCTCAGTTGTGTTGGTAAATGAAGCAGGATATGGTGTGAGTAGTCAACCTGTGATCTTTACAGTCAACCATCAAGGTTAGTATATATACACTAGCTACCATAATGCCATTATGAGCTGATTCGGATTCTGAAGGTGAGGATGCTGAAGCGGCAGGGAACAGGGCAGTAGTGGCAGGAGTGGCTATTCTAGCTGTGATGCTCGTAGTTGCTGTAATTGTCATAGTTGTTATCCTCTTGAGACCACCAGGAAGACACTGCTACTCTAAACCTAAACAACAACAGTCAGTCTCTGTTACATTTCTGTGTCATATGAATATCTATCCATTATTGCAGAAAAGCTGCTCCTACCAAAATAGCTGGTGATACATCGAAGGTGGAAGAAGTTGCGAGCCAAGAAGGGGACATTGAAGAAGACCCTAGTGGCTATGTTATGGTGGATCTGGCACGTTATTCTCCTCGTGAGCCCACTAGTGAAGAATTCCGCTAAAGCTGCATCTATGATGAACAACAGGACAGTAGTGATTAGCAACTGCAATAATTTAGCTGGAGTACTGACCATTTTAGCAATGTGGTAGTGCAAAACATTTTCACTTAGTTTAAGTACCAGGTTTTTTTGTTATTAATGTGAGTGTGTGGCGTCTTATAATTGTATGGCGTCTTTACTGAATAACTGATCTAATAATTCCTGGCTTGGGACAAGACCCATAACAAAACGAATGAACTACTTCTTGTGAGCAGTACAAGGGCTTCTACATGTATAAAGGATGATACACACACACAGAGGGCGGTGATTTGGTGAACTTGTACCGTCTGTTCCACTGTGCAGTGCCAAATGTGATATAATTATACCCAAATGGGATCGTTGCTTTTTGTGGCAAGAATCATTATGGTGAGTGTGATGTACATGTCATGTGTACTCATTCACAGTCCTGTATCGTTGTAATCAAGCTCGTTGGAGAGATCTATTTTTTCTTGTGAGCCACTCGACAGCGACCCAGTCTCTCGAGGGCGAAGCTGTGTGCTACACTACAAATTGGCGATGAGGACGAACATACCAACCATGCTGACTTTGCCTGAACGAGAAGACGAGGAGAAGGTAGCTAGGAGAAGGTAGCTAGCCACAGCGACACCCTACAGGACCAAGTGTGCCAGGACAAGGTATGCCTCATGCATGAGGAAATGGCGTTATGCAGATGTTGCTCAAAAATAAATTTTGGTTTTCACAGAAGACCAGTATAATCTTCTAAAGTAGCTATATACCTCATTGGTATGATCGTGTGGAGTGCAAAACATTGTGGCTGCACCCTATGGACACCATGGATATCTTCTTAAATAAGCATAAAATATTTTGTATAACATAACGCCTAGTATTACAGCCGCCTATATAAATTCTTATGGACTTATGAAGGCTCTTGGCATATATGTATAGGTTAGATGCTGAGCCGCGGGAACTACGCGAGTTAGTGAGCCGAGGGCCCTGGGCTGTCGGCGTCCCGAGCGCAGCGAGGGTCGCTACTACCAGGGCCCCGAGGCTCACTAAATCGCGTAGTTCCCAAGGCGACGCATCTAACCAACTTAGACTACAGCGCTAGCAACGCACAACAACGCTGGGGTCGGAGCTTTTTGTTGAGGACGAACTGGAAGCCAGTTCGAGCAGGCGTACAACAACGACTATACCAGCAAGGGTGTTTGTTCTAGGCGGCGCGGCTCGCTAACGCGAAAGTAGGCGGGACCGCTGGGCGCTTCTCGCACCGCTAGCGTGCGCGTCTGACTCGAGCTGTAGCTAGGGCCCTGTAGTCATGCACCGCTTCCTACTAGAAGACGGAGTACCTGGGGTTTCGTGAGAAAGAACCTCTCCAGAAGCTCTGTTTGCCTTCCACTCGCACGCGTCTCTCGATTTGGAGGCGTGGTTGCCATGGCCAATACGCGTAAGAAAAGTGCCGCAGGGCTGCTAAATAGTTACCGCGGAAGAGGTCACTAACAAAAATAGTCACCGCTAAACTCGCAATCTGATTGGCGTGTTACCGTAGTCTAAATATAATATATATGCCCGTGGCTGGCTAAGGGTTAAAAGACTCTATTGATACGTAGCTATAGTGAGTTTACGATGGAAGTGGATCTGCTTGGCCCAGTGCCACTGTGTCTGGAGGCTCAGAGAGAAGCTATGACATCACCACCCTGTTTGGTGATAGCAGCTACAGCATCAGAGTCAGTGCAATGAATGCTGCCGGGTCTGCAATCAGTGACCCACTAGTTATATCTACTGCTGAAGCAGGTAATATCTTTCATGCATGAGGGCTTATGTATTACAAACTATAGTCAGTGGTGCATGTTGTACTATTGAAGAGACCCCACACATCTCTCATTCTCCCCAGGTCCCACAGCTCCACCTGCTAGTCTTTCCTCATCCAGTGTCACTCCAAGCAGTTTCAGTATTCAGTGGGAGAGGGTGCCTTGTATCCACCGCAATGGCTATATCACTGGCTACTCTGGTACAGGGGAATGGGAGCATGCGATGATAGATGTCAATGGTCCTGATGTCCTGACCACTGATATCTCTGGACTGGTGTCTGACACAATGTATCTGGTGCAAGTTGCAGGAGTCAATGGGCAGGGGACTGGGGTGTATCGAGATCTCACTGCTACCACACCTCAAAGTTAGTCTGTAAACATAAGCAAAAGCAAAACGTACACAGAGTAAGTTCCATTAGAGTAGTAGTATCTCAACAAGCTACCGAATCGAGAGGAATGTTTTTGACTGAAAATTCCAATCTGTCAACACCATTGACAGATAGAATTTTATGCAATGGAATTTTGTTTTCTGTAAATCACAGCTGTATACCTCAACTTTGGTGGGATGAACCTCCCAACGAATGGGTTTGGTGAACATCAGTCAACTGGGCAACTCCACTGATACCGGGTTGGTCTGCAGCACTGACCAATCCATGGATGGGACACCCACAGGTGGATGGTTTAACCCTGACGGAACAATGCAGCAGCTCTGAGGGGTTCTTTGTCAGTGATGGCTCAGACGGGGTGTACCCGTTGAGAGGCTCAGAGATATCAGTGGAGGGGATCTACACCTGCAGTGCCACCGACAGCTATGGGAACTCTTCGAACTGTGTTTGTCGGTCTCTACAATGAGCAGGGAGGTAGGTTACTATCTAGCTAGTTAGTTGGATTTGTTCTTATGTCCTTGTCTTGCAGGTGAGGTGGATATTGATGGGGTATGATGGCTGTTTAGGGCCATCCATTTCCATCTAACTTTCTGCCATTTCCATTCAACTTCCATTTCCATTCCACTTCCATTTCCCCATTATAGATTTCCATTTCCATTCTGGTCACGTGGTTTCTGCGCATGCGTTTTGTGTGGTTCGACTGTACTGAACCTTCTCTACGAACATAGTTCATAGAACATAGAAGAGCTTCAGTGCAGTTGGACCACCCGGAATTTGTGTAATTTTACTTGCGTGGATTACGTAATGCAAAGCGCATCCTGGAGCTCGGTGTTCAGGAAGGAACGGCCGTGGTTATTTCCTTAATGAAAAGCACTAAAGTGCAAACCCTCGGCGAACTGCGCATGTGCGGTACCACTAATTGATGGGCTGGGCTTTTTATGGCCTTTACTCGTGGTATCCCGCTAGTAGCTCGCGGAGAGTCTGGCACGGGCTAGCTACAGTAGTAAATAGCATGCGGGAGTCGATACATGCCCTTCGTTGTGACTTGTTGTGCCTTCAAGACACACAGAGCGAACGGACGCGGTCGAGGTAAGCCTGTGTTAATTTACATATTGGCTTGTTCACTTGGTTTTCACGCCATAACTTTAAAACACAGTAGTTTTACGAAAATCGCCTTTATTAAAATCAACCCAGTGTAGCACTGAACCCGATCATATCGCTATTTACCTGATTTCGTGAGCGCGGTGGCAGAAAACGTGGTAACAGACAGACGGACAGACGGACAGACACACTTACGGGACAACTACCGTAACCCTCGCTGCGCATGCGCGCCGAGGGTTAATTATCCCGCTCCGTTGCTAGCTACATCCAGCGCTGTCTCCATCGCGAGCTCAGCCATGGCCGCTCTTGATATGCACTTCTCACGTTGAGATTGTTCGTCCAATAACTTCTCTAAACAGTCGAACCAATCTGAGAAGTGCCTGAGCTCGCGCGATGGAGACACAGCTGGATGTAGCTAGCTATGGAGTGGGATAATTGCCGAGCGCATTAGCGCGAGGCCGCCAACTACCGTCACCCTCGCTGCGCATGCGCGCCGAGGGTTAATGATCAATACAGCCCTTACCACTCCACCAATGGTCGCACCACTCTCTGATTCACTCAATGAACTCCTTGCTTACAGGCTGAAAATTAGACACCAAAATATGGCAATTTGACTTTACCACATGTAGAGAAAAGTATGGGAGTGCTGTCAGTGGTTCCAGCTACATTAGTGGCTGATACAGTGAGTGTGTAGATAGTGGAGGGGTCCAACTGGTGGATGGTGTAGGTAGTGCCAGACAGAGGACCACTGGTGCTCTCAGTGCCTCTGTCAGTGGGTCTCCAGACCACCTCCCAACTGGCCACCCTCCCACTGGACACACTCCAGGAGAGGGAGATGGAGGTGGCTGTTATGGAGCTCACTGACACCAACACCTGCCCTGGAGCTGGGACTAAAACCGAAGAATTTAACCCTAGGGAATACATCGAGTACTATTTCAGCCTCACTTGGTACAATTTGAGCTGTGATTGCAGCACTAGGGATATGTCGAGACCTTCCAATAAGGGAAATAGTGTAGGTCTCTCCACTATCGAGACCAGTCAGTGAGAAGCTGTCGGTTGAGCCACCGGCAACATTCACACTACCACTGCTGCCTCCTCCAGTGTAGGAGATGGTGTAGCCAGTGGTGTCTCCCAGTGGAGAGGGAGGAGTCCAGGAGAGCCTGAAAGAGGTTGCGGTTTCTTGAGTCACCATCAAGTTTGTAGGAGACGAGGCAACTGTGGGGAAAAGCACTAGTATTACCATCTCACCCTGACCTTCAGTATCATACGTACCTTCTATGTTTTGTCCACTACTAGCAGTAGTTGAAATGCTGTTAGAAACGGTGCAGACATAGACTCCACCCAGTCTCCCAGTCACAGTCAGAGTGTGGGTGTAGTGGGCAGCCACTGCGTCGTTCAATACAGTTGTTCCTTCACCAACTGTGTCAGAATTTCTGGTCCAAATGACAGATGTAGCAGGTCCATCGGTGGAGTTACAGGACAAGGTAAACTGAGGCTCCTCTGCAGTTAACTCTGAAACCAGTGTGAACCCTATCTCCCCATTATGATGGCCATCCATTTCCATCTAACTTTCTGCCATTTCCATTCAACTTCCATTTCCCGATTATAGACTTCCATTCTGGTCACGTGGTTTCTGCGCATGCGTTTTGTGTGGTTCGACTGTACTGAACCTTCAGGCCACAGCGTGAGCTCCATACATTTGGTAGGCCACAGCGCGAGCCCCATACATTTGGTAGGCCACAGCGCGAGCTCAGAACATAGAAGAGGTTCAGTGCAGTTGAACCACCAGGAATTTGTGTAATTACTTGCGTGGATTACGTAATGCAAATCGCATCCTCGGCCCCTCTCCTAGATCCTCGGTGTTCTGACCTAGGTCATCACGTGACTGTTTATTGTTCTCTAACTAGGAATGCGCACGCGCAGATTCCTCGCGCCTGCCAGCCAATGCGTAAACACTCCGACTAGACTGAGGCCGCTCCTGCGCGCGCTCTACTGACTGCGCGCGAAGCCAGACTTCCTATGAATCTGCGGAAGCTAGACTTCCTACGAATGATGGAAGTTACACTTCCTTTTGGTGACTAATTTACATTCCTAAGCGTGACTAATTGACGACGCACGCATATCTTTGTCTGTCTGTGTGTCGACGCTTATTCTGGCACTACAGGCTACGAGGCGGTCCCATTAGCGATACCAGCGGATTCAGAACTACGGGAGCCTGAAAACTTATTAGGCGATTTTCCTGAAACGACTTCTTTCGAGAGATATGCCGTAAAAACAAGCGAAAAAGCCAAATCGCACTGGCTTACCGCGACCTGATCCTCTCGCTCTGTGTCGTTACCAGCCATCCGCGGACATTACAAGAAAACATGCCTCTGGAATGTAAAAAAATCCGCGCGGGTGAAATGTATGGATTTCAATGGGAACATAAACTTTCTTGCAGCGTTGCTTGATGGTCTACCAACTCCGGAGAGGTCCGAACGTCTAGAAGTCAAGAACGACCACTCCTCCACTGCCCAAGCACAAAATATTCACCGTGGAGTAGCTAGTCTTTCGGCCAACTACAATCTCTCGCACTGCATGCGCTCCCCATTGAACCGTGTACATTTTTAATGAAATTTCAAAATCCGTGTGGGTTTAAACCTTTTTTGAGCGGCCACGCTTACTCTATTTTGAGGTCCGAACGTCTAGAACTGTAGAAGGGAGTCTAAAGTTTCGAATGAACCGAAAAAAACATGTTGGTTATATACAAAGTTAAGCGGCCAAACGCAGTTGAAAATCGGTAAAATTTGGATGAAGGAAACCGGCCCGTCTGGCTCTGGGCTCCAGGAAGGCTGCGTTTCCGTTTCTAACGCCACTTACTGTCAACTGAAGTCTTAGGGGTTTCTCGGGCAATAGGCCTACCTTTCAGAGTTTTCCCCGCTACTCTAAAGGTTATACATAGCTCTGGCCACTACCGAGTCACGGCTCACGCAGGTACAATTTGGATGAAGGAAACCGGCCCGTCTAGCTCTAGGCTCCAGGAAGGCTGCGTTTCCGTGTCTAACGCCACTTACTGTCAACTGAAAAGTGTTAGGGGTTTCTGGGGCAATAGGCCTACCTTTCAGAGTTTTCCCCGCTACTCTAAAGGTTATACATAGCTCTGGCCACTACCGCGCGGGATAGGCACTTACCTAGTTTACTGACTTCTGTGCAGGTGTTAGCTTGAGAATCTGCGTTTTCCGGCTAAAACAGTGGTAAAGTTGAGCAACAAAGCTGGGTTACTCGTAGAATCATTTAGCAAGCTGCCGCATACCAACGTGTAATACTGCGGTAATATTGCATATGGGTAAAAAATATGCAATAGGAAGTTAATTAGAACGTTAAAATATTCAACCGCAAATCAATTATACGCCTTGGCGGGGAAAACAAAGGGTTGCCGCTGCCTAAGAAGTTAGAGTAAACTAACTACAATGGAGGAGCAGACGGTTGTGGTCGCTCGCGCTGAAGTCAGTACTTCAAGCGCAGGCAGGGAGATTCCCCACTATGCACGCTCATCATCCCCAACTCCCTCCTGCTGGATATTCATGAGAACGGGAAAGGCTATATTGCAGGAGTGAATGAGAAAATACAGGGGAAGATGGTCACACTCAACAGTTCTTGCGACGGACTGGAAACAGCTCTAAAAACAATTGCTGGAAAGCTCTCCAGCAAAGTCAGGCTGAGCAAGGGCTCCAGGGGCAGAGCCAAAGTCAGAGGAAGCTCCACCAATTTCCTGGTGTTGGATGGAGAAACCCATGCTGTTGAGACAGTCCGACAGCACCTGCAAGTGCGGCATGTGTGGCATGGACATGTGTGCCTGTAACTGCTTACTATACATTATGCAGGAGAGAGTAGAACAAGCTGAGCAGGCACAGGAGGAGCTGAGTATATACTTGTTTGGCAGAGGAGCAGAGAGCAAGACAGGAGAGCAATCAACAAGTTCTAGTGAACAGAGGAAACACCATTGATGAGGTATGCACCTAAACTTAGCAAAAACAGCAAGTGCACAACATGTATGTACACGTACTTATGTAACAGGTTCGTGAACGGCAGAGACGGCGGAAGATAGCAGAGGTGAAAACATACACAGAGAACACTCTTCAGCCCTGCATGGAAACCTATGGCCTAACAGCAACTACACTCTCAGCTGTCACTGACCAAGGCACTCCAGTCACTTTTCAGTTCGATACTCCTCCACCGCAAGTCCTGACGCCACCACCACCACCACCAGACGACACGGCACAGAAGGTCCTCTTTCTGCTGGACCAGTATGGCGTCTCAGATGCTTTCTACCACGAACTGGCTCAGGTAAAATATTCTGAGTTCTAAATATGCATACAAATGCTGACAAACTGTTGTAGGCGGTTCAAGAGTTACCCAGACTCCATCATGTCAAGGATCTGAGGAAGGAGCTGAATACTGTTGTTGTACCAGTCCGCCTACACCCTCCCTTCCATGGCTGCTACCTGCACATTCGTGCAGCAGTCACCAATGTTCTCACTTCACTTGTAAGTCAGTAGCCATCTACATACAAAGTATAAAACTATTCTACCTGCGTGCGTGTGTGCGTGTGTGCATGTGTGTACACGTACACCATACTATTACTTACTTATAGCTTGAGAAAACTCCAGGTCCACCTGACAACAAGGTCCTCCTCAAGTTGTCAGGTGATGGAACTCGCTTCTCTGCTACCTCCTCCTTCGTCCTCCTCACCTTCTCCTTCCCAACTCTTGCAAACGATTCTCTTGCTGCATCTGGTAAATACACACATCACGTTGTATGTAACATTATGTTTGTGCTAATATTAAACAGGAAACCACACCTATGCATCAGCTCGTGGGCACGAGAGCTACGAGTTCCTCCGTGACTGCTTCGCCCCAATATGGAAGGAGGTAGCAGACTTGCTCTCAGACCCAGTGGTCGAGGTTAACGGGACCCTTTACAGCCTCGACATCATCTGTGGCTCAGACTACAAGGTGGATACTAAACTACACATAAAAACATTAAGTTGCAGATTTTATGTACAGTTCCTTTTGCTGGTGATGGGGATGAATGCTGCGACTTCCACATACTCTTGTCTCTGGTGTACTGTGGGAAAAGACAAGAGGTACAGACAAAGGGGTGATAATTCATATACAATAATATTATGTTGTACTATTCAGATGGGATATGTCAGTCCCTGAAGAGCAGTACACCTCTCCTCCCCCTCACGGCCAAGCGAGAACTCTGGCTGCTCTGACAGCAAATTGCCAGTTCCTTGGGGGCTCAGGAAGTCACAACGAATGGCATGTATTGACTCCTCCATGCTATCTACTACTGTAGCTAGCCCGTGTCTGACTCTCCGCGGGCTACTAGCGGAAGACCACGAGTAAACGCATACAAATAGCCGGCCCAGCCCATCAATTTGCAGTATCGCGCATGCGCAGTCCGCCGAGGGTTTGCACGTTAGTGCTTTTCATTGCTGCAGCAACCCTCATTCTTAATGCTCTGCTACTGAGGCGTCAGAGCTAGAGGCAACTACTCCACCTCTGCCAAAAGAAGGCATGCTCAATACTCCTCACTCACCACAACCTATTCTATGTATGCTGTACACACACAGAAGTGAGATGGTGGATGCTCCTGGATCTACTGCTACAGTTCTAGAACTCTCCAAGATATCAGACGAAACTTACGCGTAAGAAACACCCTCAAGATAATTATTATGAAGATTCACGCAATGCATGTTCGTCTTTTCCGCAGAAGTCCTTTCCAGACCACCAGTAATAAGGCCTACAATGTAGTGAGAGGGACTGGAAGGACACCTGAAGTTGAATATGAAGTACCACAAAACCTTCCTCCCACCACCTCATCGTCCCGACCTGCAGCTGGAGACAACACCTATGAACCTGTCTGACACTGACACTCGGTGTGTATAAATGACATTGTAGCTGAAGTATTATTGTTTGTCTTCACCCTGTTTTTACTCGTTTTTAAGATTTCTCTTTCAATTGCAATTTGACATAGTTCTTTTACATCACTCAGCAAAAACTTTTTGTGTGTATAATGCTGGTGAATTTACCAACTACTTCATTATGACCGTGATATTTTTGTGAATTTGAAGGTCATAGTGCATGCATCCAAAAGATGGCTCTGAAGAAGCTACGTTTGCTGGCTGCAGTGGCCGTTCTGTTTTGCGTGTACGCTGTAGGACAGTTACTGTACGTTCTCTTCGCGCTCCTCAGAAACCCACGCAAAGCGCTGAAAAGGACAGCTAGAGACAGTAAGCGCCAAGCTCTAGTAAAACAGTGGTTGTTCATGGTTTTTAGTGTGGGGAATGGAATAGTTCCTCCAGCATGTCTGTTGGACCCTGCTCTGGGCTCCCACGAGTACGTGACAGCCAATGGACTAAAGTTCCACTGTGTCTGCGCAGGAGACACGTCCAAACCTCTCATGTTGCTGCTTCACGGCTTCCCCGAGGTCACCTCTCTCACTCCTCACATCTCACACTCCTCACACATTCACTTTTTCGTTATATAGTTCTGGTTTTCGTGGCATCATCAGTTGAAGGCCTTCTGTAAAGACTACCAATGTCGATATGAGGTAGTGCAAAAAAGAGAACGTTGAACCCAGTGCGTGAACATTTTACTAAAATCTATAATCGAGGCTTGCTCCGATGTTTTATTTTTGCCATTATTGCGTGGACATAATATATAATGAATTTAAATTGTATCTTTCTAATTGCAGGAGAGTAACTCAGAGGTATCCGGAGTTGGTTGATAGACATAATATTGTCCTGAACTGTCCTCATGGAAGGTTCGAAATTTAATGTTAGTTGTACTAATTTTAACGTGGTTTTAAATTTCAGTGGAAGGTTGAACATTTCATGTTAGTTGACTAATTTTAACGTGGCTTTCAATTTCAATGTGCAGGGTATTCAAGAATTTCCTTGAGAATAGCTGGACACAGTTGAGGAGATCTTGGGTCAGTTTCTCATCCACATTACTCTAAACTACCCCCCCCCCCTCTCTCTCTCTCTCTCTCTCTCTCTCCCTTCCTTTTCTCCAGTTCATCTTCTTGTTCCAGATCCCGAGACTGCTGAGGCTCTGATCAGTCTCCAGGACTAGCTACCAGTTTCTGGAGCAACTCTTCACCAGCCACACCTCAGTATGTAGCCCATTGTAGGTCTCTTTTACTATAGCAGAAAGAGGTACACTATGTGTTTGAGGTACCTTCATGCGTGTATTCATTCACACTCTGTTTTTTGTCAATTAAAAAGGCTTTTTAAACAAATAATTTTTTCTAACTGATTTGTCTTCCAGTATAGCTGAACTGTTTTCTGCATGTTGCCTGCTCCAGGGAGTCAAGAACAGAGATCAGTTCCCGGCTGAAGTGGTGGAGGCCTACAAGTACTCGTTCTCCAGGCCCGGAGGACTCACTGGACCCATTAACTACTATCGTGCTATGTTCTCACCTCCCAAGGACAGCTTGCCTCGCGAGAAGTGGACAATTTCTGTCCCAACTCTCATCATATGGGTACGTAACAAACAGAGTGATTCCAAGAGCCCTATAATCAATGTGCTCTATACAGAACGAATCTGCTCTAGAAAATATTCCTAAATTTTAACAGTATGGTTTGTAAGACGAGTGCCAAGTAGTATTATTTGTAGTTAAGTGTGTGTAACTGCTGGTACAGGGAGATGATGATCACGTGCTGTAGAGAGAGATGGCAGACTGCCACGACACCATCTGCTCTGACCTGACTGTGAAGTTAGTGGGAGATTCAGCTGTATGGCAATCACAATGCTGTGTTTCTCTCTCCTCTCTTTCCCTCTCTCCAGGAATATCCCTAACTGCAGTCACTGGGTCCAGCAAGATGTGCCTGACCTCTGACAACCAGTACAGGACTGACTTTCTCTCTACTAAATCTGTTAAAATGTAGTTTATGTGTACTACTGTTGGACATAACACATCTTGTTATTTTAAAGCTGCTAGTGCATGGACACGTTGATAAACGCCAGTGGAGGGCTGGAATTTTCTGTTTTCCATATATGTCTACATTGGGAGTGTTTTATCTCTGCTATCCATCAGCCTGTGTTAACTCAGTTGCTCAGTCAGTGGTTGTAGTGATGTGCATCAGATCAATGATGAGAATTGTGTCTCTGTTGAGTCTCCTCTGGTCTCTGGTGGAGGTCCACTCTCAGACTGTTCCTTATGTCTCCTTCATGAGCCAGACTCTGGCCAACAATTCCTATGTCGGCCTCAGTGAAGTGGGGAATGATCCCAGTGGTAGTGACAGTGTTCAGTGTCATACTGACCTGACCACATGTTGTAGTGGTACTGAGGGTTCTCACCGTGGAGACTGGTATTTCCCTGATGGAACTAGACTGCCATTCGCTGGAGATAGTGGTGATATCTATGAGTTTCGTGATGCTCAGAGAGTTGATATACGTCGTTGGAACAATGCTAACTCACCAACTGTTGGTATCTATCGCTGTGATATTCCAACTAATAATGTCAATGATGATGATGACATCTCAGTGAGAGACAGACCAGTCTATGTGGGACTGTATACTGGCAGTACAGGTATTGATGATTATTGGATAGCTGAAGAGCATGAATGCATCAGCTATGATTCTCCTCATGCATGGCCTATTCCAGCAAAACTCATTCACTCACTTAACGTTACAATAATTATATAGGACCCTTAGGCTTTGGTTCTTTACTGTAGGAGACATCTCAATATCTGGAGGAGTGACATTTGACCCTAGCCAGCTGACCCTCACCTGTATCTCCACTGGTGGACCTGCTACCACTGTTACTTGGACCAGAGACTCCACCACTGTCACCCAAGGAACCCAAACTGTGTTGAATGACCCAGTGACTGCACAGTACATCCACACTCTGACTGTGACTACTGCAGGACAGTACACTTGTACTGTGGCTAATAACAAGCCATCTTCTGCTTCATCAGCTAGCACCACTGTAGCAGGTAAAATGTCCGCAAATCACTGCTTTGGCATGCATGCTAAAAACCAATGAACACTAGAGGAATGCAACGCATTTTTGGCAAGTGAAGCAAGCAAGTGCTCGTGAACCACATAAAGTATGGGCAATTAATTTGATTATGTCAATCTCTGTAGTTGTGAAAGTGCCACCCTAGGCCAAAGGTCGGTCCAAACTAAGCATGATTTCCTCAATACTACAAATGAAAAGCACTGAAGTGCAAACCCTCGGCGCATTGTGACGAGCACGCGTGAGTAAACGCATGCGCTGTATCACTAATGGCTGGGCTGGGTTTAGTTTTAGCTGTTACTCGTGGTCTCTTGCCAGCTCGCGCAGAGTCTGACGCGGGCTAACTGCACTACTAGATAGCATGCGAGAGGCGATACACGCCCTGCGTTGCATCTTCTGGTCGAGGTATATAATTATGCAGAGCACGCGGATCGATCATACCGCTTCCCGTCCGTTGCATATTGGCTTTTCGCGCTCTAGCTTTGCAACGGAGCATTTTCAGAGAAAACCCAACAAATTTTCTGACCTTCGTTGCCCGATGAGTAGGTCGTATGGTTTGTGAGACGAACAAACACTCGAGAAGTGAGATGTGGACTAACAGACACACAGACAGACAGACCAACTACTGTAACCCTCGCTGCGCATGCGCGCCGAGGGTTAACAAGGGGTCATTACACAGCAAAGTTGCACAAAGCTACATGACACCATCCCTATATCTTTGTTCGATATTAAACTTTGCTTATAAACAATAAAACAAAGATGCAATAAAACAACGATATAGGGATGGTGTCATGTAGCTTTGTGCAACTTTGCTGTGGGAGACTGCAGCCATAACACAAAAGGATAGACCACATACTTAGAGTAGTAGGTGGAACACTTTACATGAGGGTGTCTGCTTGATTCCAAGGCATATATAATTATTAATATAATGAAAAGCACTAAAGTGCAAACCCTCGGCGAACTGCGCATGTGCGGTACCACTAATTGATGGGCTGGGTTTTTTATGCCTTTACTCGTGGTATCCCGCTAGTAGCTCGCGGAGAGTCTGGCACGGGCTAGCTACAGTAGTAAATAGCATGCGTGAGTCGATACATGCCCTTCGTTGTGACTTGTTGTGCCTTCAAGACACACAGAGCGAACGGACGCGGTCGAGGTAAGCCTGTGCTAATTTACATATTGGCTTGTTCACTTGGTTTTCACGCCATAACTTTAAAACACAGTAGTTTTACGAAAATCGCCTTTTTTTAAATCAACCCAGTGTAGCACTTAACCCGATCATATCGTTATTTACCTGATTTCGTGCGCGCGGTGGCAGAAAACGTGGTAACAGACAGACAGACTGACAGACTGACAGACAGACACACTTACGGGACAACTACCGTAAACCCTCGCTGCGCATGCGCGCCGAGGGTTAATAGAAGTTCCTATGTATTTCAGGTCCGCACCTCCCAATGTTAGTATCATTGAGTTGTTTACTTTCAGGTCTCCCATCTCCCACTGATGTGACAGCAGTCCAGGATGGTCTCACTAGTATCACAGTGACCTGGACGACTCCTGATCCTCTGGATGGTATCACTGGCTACACCATCTCCTTCACTGGAGGAGGCAGCAGTGGTAGTGAGACTGTCAGTAGTGGAAACACTATGAGTCACTTTCTGACTGGTCTCACCAATGGACAGACCTACACCATATCCATTGTAGCCACAACCAATGGGCTGTCTAGTGCACCAGAACAGGCCACTGTTGGTTTAGTTATGTCATAACACTAATTTAGGTGTTTCAGTTTACACAAGAAAGAAAGAGCACCACAAACAACCTATTAATGTGCAAATGAAAAGCACTGAAGTGCAAACCCTCGGCGCATTGTGACGCGCACGCGTGAGTAAACGCATGTGCTGTATCACTAATCGATGGGCTGGGTCTAGTTTTAGCTGTTACTCGTGGTCTCTTGCCAGCTCCCGCAGAGTCTGACGCGGGCTAACTACACTACTAGATAGCATGCGAGAGGCGATACACGCCCTGCGTTGCATCTTCTGGTGCCTCCGAGGTACGCAGAGCACGCGGATCGATCAGACCGCGTAAGCCGTTGCGTATTTGCATATTGGCTTTTTCGCGCTCTAGCTCTGCAACGGAGCATTTTCAGAGAAAACCCCACATATTTTCTGACCTTCGTCGCCCGTTGGGTAGATGGTATCGTTTCTGGGACGAACAGACATTCGAGAGGTGAGCACAGACAGACCCAAGTACTGTAACCCTCGCTGCGCATGCGCGCCGAGGGTTAACAAGTCGCAAGGCAAAGGCATAGCAAACAAGTCAACTACACCCAGGGCAGCTCTTTTTCCAAGGAAAAAAGAAAAGCTCCCCTTGCTCTCCATTGTGTGCTGTCTTTGATCCAACCACAGTTCCTTCTGCTCCAGTCCTCGACTCAACTCCAACAGTCACTACGACTACCATCACCATATCTGGTAGTGTTCCCAGTGGCTCAGTGGTGACTGGCTATGTGATCCAGTGGCAGAGAGACACCTCAATTGTCTGTCCTGATCTGAGTGACGATGGTAGTATCACTGAGACTAGCAGTAGTTTCACTGGCCATACAATAATTGGACTGGAGCCAGGCAATAGGTACACCATCACAGTCTCTAATGGAGCTGGTAGTGGTCCTGTCAGTAACACAGTGACTGCAATGACTGAGGAGGCAGGTAAAGTGCTGTATAATCCCCAAGTTCCTTACAATATGGTTTGTGTTACTCTCCACAGCTCCCAGTGGTGCTCCTGGCCCAATCACTTTAGTTGCAGTCACACCAAACAGTGCGACTGTCCAGTGGGGAGAGGTGCCTTGTCCCCAGAGAAATGGACTAATCACGGCCTACACAGTTGCTGCAACCAACTCGGGTGGAATGGGAGAAGGAACTGCTAGTGTTGATGTAGACGCTAGACAAGCCACAATCTCTGGACTGACTCCATCCACACAGTATACTGTGTCAGTGGCTGCAGTGAATAGTGCTGGTACTGGACCTACCTCTACCCTCCCTGTAGAGACTCCACGTGAGTATTGCTCTGTCATCCAAACTTGCACACACTAAACAAAATTAAGACTTACCCAGACGATGTTTAGTATACTCTGTGGTTGTCTCATTCTCTCCCCACCAGTTGGACTGACTGTATCGGCCACTCCCTCATCCTCTACCTCCCTCACCATCTCATGGGCACTGGAGGACAGTTTTACTGCAACCTCCTTCACCATCTCTTACTCCAACACTAACACTGACTGTTTCACTCACTCCAGAAGTGATATCTCTGCTAGTGGGACATCATACACTCTGACTGATCTAGAGGAGGCAACAGAGTATTCTATCATTGTCACTGCCACTCTGACTGGAGGAGGGACTCAAGAAGGCAGCACCACAGCCACCACACTGACTGCTGGTTAGTATCCTAGTATTTCCCTCTGTGTGTTCCCATATTCTGATAACTCTATACCCACAGTCCCATCTGTACCTCCTCCTGGTGTGACTGTCACTGATGTGAATTCCTCCGCCATCACTGTCCAGTGGGGGAGTGTACCATGTATCCATCAGAATGGAGCCATCACAGGATACTCAGTCCAGTATGGAGTGGAGGGGAGTGGGAGCACACAGACTATGACTATTGATGGAGCTAGTATCACTCAGACCACAATCACTGATCTCGACCCATCCACTACCTACTCCATCCAAGTAGCGGCAGTCAACAGTGCTGGAACTGGAGTCTACAGTGATCCAGAAACGACTGAAACTCTTCCAAGTGAGGCTGATATGTGAATGAGATCATGGTGTACTATTAACCCTTGACATGCGTGCCAAGCGAGGGTTATAGTATAATTATATTGCAGCTAAAGTGCTAGTGTGTAGTTCTGTGCCGAGTGTTTGTGCTCTTATTTTTCCAGGTGTGTACCTCAGTCTGAATGGTAACATCATCGCTAGTCATGGCTATGTGGATGTCAGTGATGTTGGCTCCTCTGATGACACTGCTCTACTGGTTATCACTAACCGTCCTGGTACTCCTACTTTAGGAAACTGGTTTGCTCCATCTGGGACCAGAGTAGAGGGTACTGATGTTCCAGGATTCAGCAGAAACAGAGGTCCTATGGTAGTGAGACTGAAGAGGACCACTGGTACTGATCCTGCAGCTGAAGGAATATATCACTGTGTGGTAGTGGACAACACAGAAACTGAGCAGACAGTTTATGTGGGAATATACAATGGAGGAGGTATGTATTGGTTCACAGAATGTTCCTGGTGTAATTGATTCTACATTGCAGGAGACATTTCAATATCTGAAGACCTGACAGTGAAGTCAGACCTCAATGGAGCCAGTCCTCAGTTCACCCTCACCTGTATCTCCACTGGTGGACCTGCTACCACTGTCACTTGGACCAGAGACAATGTCAATATCACTGGAGAGCAAAACGAGACTGTGTTGAATGACCCAGTGACTGCACAGTACACCCACACTCTGACTGTGACTACTGCAGGAGTGTACATGTGTATGGTGTCTAATAACAAGCCATCTACTGCCTCAGCTAGCATCACATTGCAGGGTATCTACTGTAATGTGTCATTCAGTAATATATTGCTCACTTTCAGGTCCCCCATCTCCCACTGATGTGACAGCAGTCCAGGATGGTCCCACTAGTATCACAGTGACCTGGACTCCTCCCTCTCCACTGGGAGATACCACTGGCTACAGGATCTCCTTCACTGGAGGCAGTGATGTGGATATTGATGGTGGCTCTACCAACAGCTACACTCTGACTGGTCTCACCAATGGACAGACATACACCATATCCATTGTAGCCACATCTGAACACCTCTTCAGTGATGCCACCACATTTGAAATCACACTAAGTAAGAGAGAGATAGGTCCTACAGTTCATCTAAATGTAATCCCCTATTCCAGTCCCAGCTCCAGGACAGGTGTTTGTGTCAGTGAGCTCCATAACAGCCACCTCCATCTCCCTCTCCTGGAGTGTGTCCAGTGGGAGGGTGGCCAGTTGGGAGGTGGTCTGGAGACCCACTGACAGAGGCACTGAGAGCACCAGTGGTCCTCTGTCTGGCACTACCTACACCATCCACCAGTTGGACCCCTCCACTATCTACACACTCACTGTATCAGCCACTAATGTAGCTGGAACCACTGACAGCACTCCCATACTTTTCTCCACTGGTATTAACCCACTGCAGTCAATATTATGCTAGACTACCTCCTTTGCTCTCAATTCCAGCCTCTGATGTTTGCCAAGCAGAAAGCACTGAGACTAAGACAGACAACACAGGAGCTATCATTGGTGGAGTAGTGGCTGTGGCTGTTGGCACTTATAGCTGCAGTGACGGTCATAGTCATTGTGGTTCTGAGAAGTCGAAGTGCAAATTATTCAACGCCAAAGACTAGGTTGGTATGCCCAGCAAAACGCTATCACTAAATAAAGTATGGTACCAGCATCATGTATAAGATAGAAGAAGTCTATTACACATGGTAGATTTTATACTTCCTTTTCAGAGGGTCAGTTGGTGCTCTGGCAACTACAAATCAATCAGTGGAGCTCTCCAAGTTCTCAGAGGCAACATATGTGTAAGTCTCCCTATATGAAACACTGTGAGCTGATTTCTATACCACTGATGGCCTCACTCCAGAGATCCAGACCAGCTCCAGACCACCAGTAATGAGGCCTACAATGTAGTGAGAGGGACTGGAAGGACAGCTGAAGATGATTATCAAGTACCACAAAACCTTCCTCCCACCACCACCTCTCAACCTACCACTACTGCCGGAGACTCCCTCTATGAACCTGTCTAGGTGTGCGGTAGTAATTATTTTGCGCATGCGGAGTTTTTCGTGATGCGTAATTGGCGTGTATAATAATACTGAATTTGGCGCTGGTGTTCTCTATGAACCTGTGTGAAGTGTTATGTGATTAATGGAATTTAATAGTAGATTAAATGGGGTTAACAGCATGAAGCAGGTCACAATGTTCTAGGAAGGCCGCATGCGCAAAGGTGTCGGCCTCGTGGTCTTAGTCAGCACTATTTCCTAGCATATCCGTGAGGCAGACAGGTAGCTGAGCAATTTTCCCACCCAATGACCCCTCCCTCACACAGGGACATTGTCCCTTAGGTAAGTAGGTAAACTCACACAAATTTAATGTAAACAAGTAAATAAAAAATCCTGCAGATTAAAAGAGTGCATATAGGGATTGTATAAAAAGAAAGGGAGACAAGAAGGGATTGTGTTTGTGGAAGCACAGAGATGCTAGCGAGGAGTTAGGACTCCCACAGGTCATTACAACAGCCCTATATCGTCGTATCGGAGCTTGACCACGGAGTAAAATCTTCCTCGCATAAGTATCAGCAACCCTGCATACTTGAAACGTATGTTTTCCATGTAATGATGTTATGCACGTACATTGTTTTCGGTCAGCAGATTATTACGACAGTACACATAACTGCTCGCACCTTGATGTGCATACACTCCATGGGAATGTAGCATGACAGATCGATGAAATGTACACAACAATCATTATTAATACTCTTTCATAACCTTCACTCCCACCGTACGATGATATAGGGCTGTTGTAATGACCTGTGGGAGTCCTAACTCCTCGCTAGCATCTCTGTGCTTCCACAAACACAATCCCTATCATGTCTCCCTTTCTTTTTATACGATCCCTATATGCACTCTTTTTTTAATCCGCAGGATTTTTTATTTACTTGTCTCCACTCATTTTTTTAAATATACTACTACGTATTATCTCTGTGGAAGGGGGCAAGCCCCTATAAAAATTAATAATAGTATACTATGTAACAGCCAATACATTTGATCCATAGAGAATTCACCGTAATACCCTTGGAAAATTTAAATACCCCCCGAAAATTTAAATACCCCACAAAATCGACCAATCAAATCAAGTGACTAGGAAATCAATGTGAAATACTTCATACAAGTTACAGCTCCAGAAACAAGTGTCGCGAAAGATCTTGTGAGCATGACTATAGCTAATCTATATAACATACTGATCACTATACACAGCACTATACTATTAACATGTGATAGTGCAGTTTGGTGTGGTATTAGGGGATTAATAGTGATGGAATTTAAAAAAATAGTATTCGGCTTCGCCTCATACTATTTTGAAAAATTCCATCCCTATTAATCCCTAATACCACACCAAACTGCACTATTACCTATACTAATAGAGAAAAAATGCCTGTTGTCGTCATGGAAATGAAATGCATACCATCCATGTGTGCTGCTGTTAGCGCGTTTGAGGAGTGAAAAAGTAATTTTAAAGAAAAGTGCCTGAGGCTATTTGTTGTTGTGGTCGTCACGGAAACGATGTAATACACATGCGCACCAAGTTTCACCTCCATGCGTGGTACCGTTAGCGAGTTTGAGGAGTGAAAAAGTAATTTTAAAGAAAAGTGCCTGAGGCTATTTGTTGTTGTGGTTGTCATGGAAACGATGTAATACACATGCGTACCAAGTTTCATCTCCATGCGTTGTACCATTAGCGAGTTTGAGGAGTGAAGAAGTAATTATAAAGAAAAGTGCCTGAGGCTATTTGTTGTTGTGGTCGTCATGGAAACGATGTAATACACATGCGCACAAAGTTTCACCTCCATGCGTAGTACCGTTAACGAGTTTGAGGAGTGAAGAAGTAATTTAGAAAAGTGCCTGAGGCTATTTGTCGTTGTAGTTGTCATAGAAACGATGTAATACACACTAAGTTTCACCTCTATAGTTAGCAAATTTGAGGAGTGAAGAAGTAATTTTAAAGAAAAGTGCCTGAGGCTATTTGTTGTTGTGGTCGTCACGGAAACGATGTAATACACATGCGCACCAAGTTTCACCTCCATGCGTGGTACCGTTAGCAAGTTTGAGGAGTGAAGAAGTAATTTTAAAGAAAAGTGCCTGTGGCCTTTTCGAACAATATGCGGTCGTCATGGAAACATGTAATCGTCATGGAAATGATATAATAGGCATACGTACCAAGTTCATCTCTATGCGTGCTACCATTGGAAAGTTTGAGAAGTGAAGAAGTATTATTTAAAGAAATGTGCCTGAGGCTATTTGTTGTTATTTACAAACATGTATTGTTGTGATTTTGATGTTGGCTATTGAATACATTGTGTTTAGACCGCAGTCACGCGCAATTGACCAATCAGATTACAGAATTGCGGGGGGTTTATTTTTCATAGACACCTCGTTTCAGGTGTCTAATGGCGTTTGCAGGTGGTCTACAGCAAACTCCCTGTACAAAATGGCTATTCTCAAAGTCGTTATCTACGCAAACCGGCCGATTCCGCGTTCGGTATATGTAAGCGTAGAAGGCGCGACTGGCAAAGTAGCTCTTTTAAAATGCGTAGTGCACCTGCAAGAAGTCTGTGGACAGTCTCCGGAGCTCGCGAAAGTCAGAAATCACGTCAATATTCCACGAAAAAAGCGTCGGCTTCTTTAGCTCTGGCGATACACAAACACATTGGGCCGTTGCCCTGCGTTGCTAACCCTTTCAAACGCGCACCACCAATGAGGCGTTATATGATGACGTAAACGATTTTTGACGGGGGGCGGGGGCTGTCTCCTCGAAATCTCACACGTAAAAAAGCGTCTTGTTCCATCCGAAGGTAAGGAATGAGGAATGAGCGCAGCGTTACTAGCTTGTTGCTACCCATTTGAAACGCGCAAACACCATCAGATACCCTCCGGTCTAAACCGGTTAGACGCGGAGCTCGTTGTCTACGCAACATTGCAACCCTCGGGGCATGTGGGTAGCGCCCTCGCTGCGCTCGGGACGCCAACATTCCCACAGCCCCTCGGGTTGCAATGTAGCGTAGACACCTCGCTTCCGCGTCTAACCTATATTTAGAGCTCACTCACGCTGAATTTCGTGTCTTCTAAATCTAATAGATTTCACGTTTTCGTGTATTCTAAGTGCCCGGGCGTTTTTGTGTGCGCGCGCATATAGTAGGTGCGCGTTTAATTAGAAAACCACGCGCTGAGTTCAACATAGTATTACAGGGCTAGGGACAGGAGCAGAGGCGGCGTAGCTGGTCCCGTGCACATGCGCATGCTCGTCGTTAGACGGCGGTGGCGGCTGAGCCGTAGCGTCAGTTTCGTAGTTGTCACTTGCCTCTAGCAGTATGCGGTTCTTGCGAGTCTTCCAACCACTCCATGATGTCTTCGCAAAAAATCGCGTTTTGGGTTGCTAAGGGCGCGCAGACCTGCGCCCGCTCTAATAAGTTAGGCAGGCTCGTCCAATGAAATCTACGCGATTTAGAAGGCCTCGGGCCCTTAGTAGCGTCCTCGCTACGCTCGGACGCTACAGCCCAGGGCCCTCGGCCTCTAATAGCGTAGATTTCACGGACTCACTGTCTAACTATTATTTAGAGTGAGCTAGGTTCGAATTGACCAATCAGATTGCAAAGCCGAGGTTTACTATTTCCCGTAGTAAACCTCGACGGGGTTTACTACATGTAGTAAACCTACAGAAACTACAAAACCTACAGACATAACAGGAAAACATAACAAAATGTACATGTAAACAACAAGATCAACAACTGAATCTACATTGACGCGTCGTCCACGCGCACGCGCAGACCCCCCTGCGCGCAACCCGGCACAACCAGAAAAGAAGGCGGAGTCGCTACCGCGTGTCTCTGCCGCTTCGCTCTTCTTGCACTGCATTTTCTGGCGCTCTGAGCCTGTCTCCATCGAGTCATCGTTAGTAGCGCTCCGCCATACGAACGAACCGGAAAGCCAGAGCGCTCAACGTGAAGCGCTCACTCTAAAATAGTTAGACGCTGATTCCTCGGTAACCACGCGCCGGTAGAAAGCCTCGTGCCCCGGGGGTAGCGCCCTCGCTGCGCTCGGGGCGCCACAATGCCGGGGCTCTCGGCTTTCTACTGCGCGTAGTTACCTCGAATCAGCGTCTAACTATTATTTATACTTGCTGTTGGAAGAGTGATGGGGGTAGATCTAGATGCACCCAACCCCTGTCGTTTGGACTTCTCCCAGAAGAGTATGGGTGTTGATGCACAGAGGAGAATCCTGAATCGCAACCACCGAAGACTACGTCAGGATGTGGACATCGAGACCATTTACCCGCACCTCAACGAGCACAGTCTACTGTCAGACCACGAGAGAGAAATTCTACTCAACGTTTACCACACACGACAGTTCAAGATAGACAAACTGTTACAGTTTATAGATTGTCTGCAGAGGTCTAGTCGCGAAGCTAGTGGCCACGAAGAGCTCGCAGACCTGTTGCAGCGAGATGTTGATCGTGCTAGAGGCAATCCTGATCTCGACAAGTGGCTGCGGATACCCGCCCCTCGTTTATCAACAATTAAAAGTGAGTCGTTTGTGTATGCTAGAACCGACGTCTTTTCTGTTGATGTTCACTGTAGGCAGTACAGCACGCTTTTCTAGTCGCATCTTGCGTTGTTTACTCCACGGAAGAGATTCTCAATGCACGTATTGTGGTCACGAGGCATGGCTTTATTTGCCTTGGAATGGTATCACTGCCATGTGGGGTACTAACCTGTGTGTTTTCAGTATGTTGTATCAAATGACATATCAATTTCTCTGCAGAGGCATCTGTATTGGCATTGTTTGGTCTACTGCTCCTGCTATCGTGTCCCCTTCTCTTCCACAAATCCCAGCTAAAACAACTTCTGGAATGGTCCACACACTCTCTCCTCCTCCCACAGCCTTGTGCGCCATTCCTCGGTAGAGACAGAGAGACTAGTGACCTAATGAGAGTACTGGACATGCAGAGTGATGAAGTAAGAATAGTCAATCTGGTCGGTTCCGCTGGTATAGGGAAGAGTTGTCTCGCAGTTCAAGTTGGGCACCGGCTAATAGACAGTGGAGCTACAGTCAGCTACCTTGATGCTAGTCTTTTCTTTCTGGACAGCCTACCAGATGTGATCCTTCAGACTGCAGGTTCTGGTGGCAGTGGGAATTTTACTGAGAGATTGCTTCACTGGCTGCGTATAGGGAGATGAAATACCCTATAGTTGTGATACTGGACAACTTTGATAGAATGCTTGCTACTGATCGAGAAAGAGTGTTAAAATATATCGATATGCTGTTTGAAAATGCTGCAGCAACAGTCAAAGTTCTCATCACTAGTAGAAAGAAGATTCCCTTGTCTGATCACAGCTCTGAGTACGAAATCGAGTCAATCACTTTTGACAGCTCATGCCAACTCTTGCGTAGTATCAGTGAGAGAGATTTAAGTGCAAGAGATTGTGAGTCTATCACAAAACTAATAGCTGGAAAATCCCTCCTCTGTCTGGCAATGATAGGGAACGTTCTCAAATCAACCACTGCAGACGTCTCTAAAGTCATCTCCAGTCTGAAGAAAGAGCAGAAAACACAAGGGCCTGGTTTTGAAACACAATCAGATGCATGTATAAGACTTTCACTGAACAATCTGAAGAAGAGACTGTTGAGCTTTGGAAAATACCTGTCCATGTTTCCTGGTTCATTTTCCCTCACCGATGCTTGTGCTGT